TTGAAAGTATATAGTGGGCCACTCCTCATGACCCCAGTGCAGCTTTCTGCCCACAGTCCCTGTCCGCGTGCTTTAATAAATCCACTTTTTTGCACCAAAGACATCTCAAGAATTTTCTCGGCCCTTGGTTCCAGACCCCAACATTTCCACAACACCCTTCACTCATTTTACTGCTTGTTCCCATAATTTGTCGTTATATATGTATACCATTATGTGAGGTCTTCTTTACTAAAGGGTAATCTTCCCGAGGGCAAGGATTCAGCGGGTTCCACTCAATCACTAGCACCTAGCGCAGTATTAGCACAGAGTACGACATCATACATATTTGTGAATTATGTTTTCAGTTCCTATCTAGGGCACAGAACCCATCTCTACACATGAATGTGAAGTGACAACGTGGGCACAAAGGTAGGCACTTTTCCAGTAAATGCGTTTTTGTTGAACCGGGTTTTTGTGCCATCCCCAAGCTTTCATCAGTGTGCTGGCGCTTGGTCAGGCTCTGCCCACCTGGACAAACCCTCTCCGCGCTGGGGACCCCCGAGCCCGTTAGCCCCGGCTGACTCCGGCTGTCCATCCCTGGTCCACCCTCCCGGGCGCTCTGCCCCCGCCCGCGTCGGGGACCCCCGACCCCCTTACCCCGACTGACTCCGGCTGTCCATCCCTGGTCCACCGCCCCCCGCCCGCGTCGGGGAAACCCGACCCCCTTACCCCGACTGACTCCGGCTGTCCATCCCTGGTCCACCGCCCCCACCCGCGTCGGGGACCCCCGAGCCCCTTACCCCGGCTGACTCCGGCTGTCCATCCCTGGTCCACCGCCCCCGCCCGCGTCGGGGACCCCCGACCCCCTTACCCCGACTGACTCCGGCTGTCCATCCCTGGTCCACCGCCCCTGCCCGCGTCGGGGACGCCCGACCCCCTTACCTCCGGCTGTCCATCCCTGGTCCACCGCCCCCGCCCGCGTGGGGGCCCCCGAGCCCCTTACCCCCGGCTGCCTCCGGCTGTCCATCCCTGGTCCACCGCCCCCGCCCGCGTCGGGGACCCCCGACCCCCTTACCCCGACTGACTCCGGCTGTCCATCCCTGGTCCACCGCCCCTGCCCGCGTCGGGGACGCCCGACCCCCTTACCTCCGGCTGTCCATCCCTGGTCCACCGCCCCCGCCCGCGTGGGGGCCCCCGAGCCCCTTACCCCCGGCTGCCTCCGGCTGTCCATCCCTGGTCCACCGCCCCCGCCCGCGTCGGGGACCCCCGAGCCCCTTACCCCGACTGACTCCGGCTGTCCATCCCTGGTCCACCGCCCCTGCCCGCGTCGGGGACGCCCGACCCCCTTACCTCCGGCTGTCCATCCCTGGTCCACCGCCCCCGCCCGCGTGGGGGCCCCCGAGCCCCTTACCCCCGGCTGACTCCGGCTGTCCATCCCTGGTCCACCGCCCCCGCCCGCGTCGGGGACCCCCGACCCCCTTACCCCGGCTGATTCCGGCTGTCCATCCCTGGTCCACCGCCCCCGCCCGCGTCGGGGACCCCCGAGCCCCTTACCCCGGCTGACTCCGGCTGTCCATCCCTGGTCCACCGCCCCCGCCCGCGTCGGGGACCCCCGAGCCCCTTACCCCGACTGACTCCGGCTGTCCATCCCTGGTCCACCGCCCCTGCCCGCGTCGGGGACGCCCGACCCCCTTACCTCCGGCTGTCCATCCCTGGTCCACCGCCCCCGCCCGCGTGGGGGACCCCGAGCCCCTTACCCCCGGCTGCCTCCGGCTGTCCATCCCTGGTCCACCGCCCCCGCCCGCGTCGGGGACCCCCGAGCCCCTTACCCCGACTGACTCCGGCTGTCCATCCCTGGTACACCGCCCCCGCCCGCGTCGGGGACCCCCGAGCCCCTTACCCCGGCTGACTCCGGCTGTCCATCCCTGGTCCACCGCCCCCGCCCGCGTCGGGGACCCCCGAGCCCCTTACCCCGGCTGACTCCGGCTGTCCATCCCTGGTCCACCGCCCCCGCCCGCGTGGGGGCCCCCGAGCCCCTTACCCCCGGCTGCCTCCGGCTGTCCATCCCTGGTCCACCGCCCCCGCCCGCGTCGGGGACCCCCGACCCCCTTACCCCGACTGACTCCGGCTGTCCATCCCTGGTCCACCGCCCCTGCCCGCGTCGGGGACGCCCGACCCCCTTACCTCCGGCTGTCCATCCCTGGTCCACCGCCCCCGCCCGCGTGGGGGCCCCCGAGCCCCTTACCCCCGGCTGCCTCCGGCTGTCCATCCCTGGTCCACCGCCCCCGCCCGCGTCGGGGACCCCCGAGCCCCTTACCCCGACTGACTCCGGCTGTCCATCCCTGGTCCACCGCCCCTGCCCGCGTCGGGGACGCCCGACCCCCTTACCTCCGGCTGTCCATCCCTGGTCCACCGCCCCCGCCCGCGTGGGGGCCCCCGAGCCCCTTACCCCCGGCTGCCTCCGGCTGTCCATCCCTGGTCCACCGCCCCCGCCCGCGTCGGGGACCCCCGAGCCCCTTACCCCGACTGACTCCGGCTGTCCATCCCTGGTCCACCGCCCCTGCCCGCGTCGGGGACGCCCGACCCCCTTACCTCCGGCTGTCCATCCCTGGTCCACCGCCCCCGCCCGCGTGGGGGCCCCCGAGCCCCTTACCCCCGGCTGACTCCGGCTGTCCATCCCTGGTCCACCGCCCCCGCCCGCGTCGGGGACCCCCGACCCCCTTACCCCGGCTGATTCCGGCTGTCCATCCCTGGTCCACCGCCCCCGCCCGCGTCGGGGACCCCCGAGCCCCTTACCCCGGCTGACTCCGGCTGTCCATCCCTGGTCCACCGCCCCCGCCCGCGTCGGGGACCCCCGAGCCCCTTACCCCGACTGACTCCGGCTGTCCATCCCTGGTCCACCGCCCCTGCCCGCGTCGGGGACGCCCGACCCCCTTACCTCCGGCTGTCCATCCCTGGTCCACCGCCCCCGCCCGCGTGGGGGCCCCCGAGCCCCTTACCCCCGGCTGCCTCCGGCTGTCCATCCCTGGTCCACCGCCCCCGCCCGCGTCGGGGACCCCCGAGCCCCTTACCCCGACTGACTCCGGCTGTCCATCCCTGGTCCACCGCCCCCGCCCGCGTCGGGGACCCCCGAGCCCCTTACCCCGGCTGACTCCGGCTGTCCATCCCTGGTCCACCGCCCCCGCCCGCGTCGGGGACCCCCGAGCCCCTTACCCCGGCTGACTCCGGCTGTCCATCCCTGGTCCACCGCCCCCGCCCGCGTGGGGGCCCCCGAGCCCCTTACCCCCGGCTGCCTCCGGCTGTCCATCCCTGGTCCACCGCCCCCGCCCGCGTCGGGGACCCCCGACCCCCTTACCCCGACTGACTCCGGCTGTCCATCCCTGGTCCACCGCCCCTGCCCGCGTCGGGGACGCCCGACCCCCTTACCTCCGGCTGTCCATCCCTGGTCCACCGCCCCCGCCCGCGTGGGGGCCCCCGAGCCCCTTACCCCCGGCTGCCTCCGGCTGTCCATCCCTGGTCCACCGCCCCCGCCCGCGTCGGGGACCCCCGAGCCCCTTACCCCGACTGACTCCGGCTGTCCATCCCTGGTCCACCGCCCCCGCCCGCGTCGGGGACGCCCGACCCCCTTACCTCCGGCTGTCCATCCCTGGTCCACCGCCCCCGCCCGCGTGGGGGCCCCCGAGCCCCTTACCCCCGGCTGCCTCCGGCTGTCCATCCCTGGTCCACCGCCCCCGCCCGCGTCGGGGACCCCCGAGCCCCTTACCCCGACTGACTCCGGCTGTCCATCCCTGGTCCACCGCCCCTGCCCGCGTCGGGGACGCCCGACCCCCTTACCTCCGGCTGTCCATCCCTGGTCCACCGCCCCCGCCCGCGTCGGGGCCCCCGAGCCCCTTACCCCCGGCTGCCTCCGGCTGTCCATCCCTGGTCCACCGCCCCCGCCCGCGTCGGGGACCCCCGACCCCCTTACCCCGACTGACTCCGGCTGTCCATCCCTGGTCCACCGCCCCCGCCCGCGTGGGGGCCCCCGAGCCCCTTACCCCCGGCTGCCTCCGGCTGTCCATCCCTGGTCCACCGCCCCCGCCCGCGTCGGGGACCCCCGAGCCCCTTACCCCGACTGACTCCGGCTGTCCATCCCTGGTCCACCGCCCCCGCCCGCGTCGGGGACGCCCGACCCCCTTACCTCCGGCTGTCCATCCCTGGTCCACCGCCCCCGCCCGCGTGGGGGCCCCCGAGCCCCTTACCCCCGGCTGCCTCCGGCTGTCCATCCCTGGTCCACCGCCCCCGCCCGCGTCGGGGACCCCCGAGCCCCTTACCCCGACTGACTCCGGCTGTCCATCCCTGGTCCACCGCCCCTGCCCGCGTCGGGGACGCCCGACCCCCTTACCTCCGGCTGTCCATCCCTGGTCCACCGCCCCCGCCCGCGTCGGGGCCCCCGAGCCCCTTACCCCCGGCTGCCTCCGGCTGTCCATCCCTGGTCCACCGCCCCCGCCCGCGTCGGGGACCCCCGACCCCCTTACCCCGACTGACTCCGGCTGTCCATCCCTGGTCCACCGCCCCCGCCCGCGTGGGGGCCCCCGAGCCCCTTACCCCCTCGCCCCGCCCCCGGCAAGCGTCGCCGCGAGCCCTCCCCAGAGCGCCTGCGGACGTCCCGCAACTGTCCGCCGCCCCGAGCCTCGGACCCGAGGGCTACGTGTTTACGGCTGAAGAGCACGTTTAGGCGTAAAGCACTCCGCTGCCGAAGCGCGGACACACGTTACGCCACTGGGTTCTCTAAAGGCACGAACGGAATCGGAATCTCAGGTCCTTTCACGGCCTCAGCGGGGGGGTGAGTCTTCGGGTTAAGTGGGTGTTTTTTGAATCGTCCTCTCTTCGGGGCGGACTTGCTTTTCGCGGGGCCCCGACTGCCGCCTGAACTTCCGCAGCTGCCCGGACCACGCCCCCCAATCACAGCAAGAAGGAGCCGCGGCGCTCGGAGGAGAGTTACCGACGCCCCTGTCCCCGCCCCCACCCGGCCTCTTCCGGGGACTCTCTAGGCTTCGACCGCGTTTCAGCGGTTCTTCCGGTTTCTCTGCTCGCCCTGTCCCCGCCTCTTCCCGTGCGCCGTCGCGATTTGAGGCGCTCTCGCGAGACTCAGGCCTCTTCCTAGGCCGGCGCTCTCAACCAGGTATGTCGGTGGCCTCCTTGTGTTGGACTTTTCAGCCGACTCTGAGGAAACCGCGTTTCGGAGTCCGCCCTGGACCGGCGGGCCCTGCTCGCCGGGCGGGGATGCGGCCGATTACCCAGGCTGTGTACCCCGATGGCTTCTGCGGGGTGGCGCGGGGCCGGGCCGGGGGCCGGAGGGGGTCCGCGGCTCGGGGCCGCGGAGACTCAGCCAGGACGCTGTGTGCTTGCAGGAGAAGGCCATGTTCAGTTCGAGCGCCAAGATCGTGAAGCCCAACGGCGAGAAGCCGGACGAGTTCGAGTCCGGCATCTCCCAGGTGAGGGGGGCAGGGCCGGCGCCCCGGCGGCGTGTCAGCCCCCGACCGGCTCTTGTCCTCCCCCTCCCCCCCCGCGCGTGTCCCCCTCCCCGACGGCGTGTCAGCCCCCGACCCGCTCCTGTCCTCCCCCTCCCCCCCCGCGCGTGTCCCCCTCCCCGACGGCGTGTCAGCCCCCGACCCGCTCCTGTCCTCCCCCTCCCCCCCCGCGCGTGTCCCCCTCCCCGACGGCGTGTCAGCCCCCGACCCGCTCCTGTCCTCCCCCTCCCCCCCCGCGCGTGTCCCCCTCCCCGATGGCGTGTCACCCCCCCGACCCGGCTCCTGTCCTCCTCCCCCTCCCCCCCCGCGCGTGTCCCCCTCCCCGACGGCGTGTCAGCCCCCGACCCGCTCCTGTCCTCCCCCTCCCCCCCCGCGCGTGTCCCCCTCCCCGACGGCGTGTCAGCCCCCGACCCGCTCCTGTCCTCCCCCTCCCCCCCCGCGCGTGTCCCCCTCCCCGACGGCGTGTCAGCCCCCGACCCGCTCCTGTCCTCCCCCTCCCCCCCCGCGCGTGTCCCCCTCCCCGACGGCGTGTCAGCCCCCGACCCGCTCCTGTCCTCCCCCTCCCCCCCCGCGCGTGTCCCCCTCCCCGATGGCGTGTCACCCCCCCGACCCGGCTCCTGTCCTCCCCCTCCCCCCCCGCGCGTGTCCCCCTCCCCGACGGCGTGTCAGCCCCCGACCCGCTCCTGTCCTCCCCCTCCCCCCCCGCGCGTGTCCCCCTCCCCGATGGCGTGTCACCCCCCCGACCCGGCTCCTGTCCTCCCCCTCCCCCCCCGCGCGTGTCCCCCTCCCCGACGGCGTGTCAGCCCCCGACCCGCTCCTGTCCTCCCCCTCCCCCCCCGCGCGTGTCCCCCTCCCCGACGGCGTGTCAGCCCCCGACCCGCTCCTGTCCTCCCCCTCCCCCCCGCGCGTGTCCCCCTCCCCGACGGCGTGTCAGCCCCCGACCCGCTCCTGTCCTCCCCCTCCCCCCCCGCGCGTGTCCCCCCCCCCGGCGGCGTGTCAGCCCCCGACCCGCTCCTGTCCTCCCCCTCCCCCTCCGCGCGTGTCCCCCCCCCGACGGCGTGTCAGCCCCCGACCCAGCTCCTGTCCCCCCTTCCCCCCCCGCGCGTGTCCCCCTCCCCGATGGCGTGTCACCCCCCCGACCCGGCTCCTGTCCTCCCCCTCCCCCCCGCGTGTCCCCTCCCCCGGCGGCGTGTCAGCCCCCGACCCGGCTCCTGTCCTCCCCCTCCCCCCCCGCGCGTGTCCCCTCCCCCGGTGGTGTGTCACCTCCCGACCCGGCTCCTGTTCCCCCCCACCCCCTGTCCCCCGGCAGCCTATCACCGCCCCCCCACCCGCGGGAGTCCCGGCGCGCGTCACTCCGGTGGAGGCGGGGGCACACGTCCGGGAGGAGCCCACGAGTGCGCGGATCGGGCCCCCCGCCGGCCGGCCGGTCCCTGAGGGTCAGCTCCTGCTGTTTTCCCCTAGGCTCTCCTTGAGTTGGAGATGAACTCCGACCTCAAAGCCCAGCTGCGGGAGCTGAACATCACGGCTGCCAAGGTGAAGTTAACTTTACTGGGGGGCGGGGGTTCTCTCCACCCCACGCCGGGGTCGGCTGCTTGTCAAGAATGTCTGCAGATCACGTTTGGGAACTTGCATCCTGGCTCGTGAGCACGTGTCAGAGCCACCGGGCCTGTTGTGCAGGGGGTGGGCTTGCAGGATTGGGGGTGTCAGCGGGGCTTCCCAGCCCCTGCGCTGTGGGCTCGGAAGGGGAGGCCTGCGCAGTGGAGTAGGGAAGTGGGCAGAGACAGAGGGTCTCTGAGGCTTGCTTCTCTCTTGACTTGGCAGTGCGTCTGCGCCCCGCACAGCGTCACCTTCGCTCCTCACCTGGTTGTAGTGTTCACTCTTCCACTTTCTCCAGCAGTTGTACGGTGGGCCTGGTGTACAGATGATCGGAAGTTAAGTTTCCCAGATTCCTGTCTTTGGCTCAAAAGCTGCCCTGTGTTTGCACAGACGGAGATTTGCAGAGAACAGCCAGCCTCATTTTGGGTTGCAAGCAAGTTTGTGTCCTGTAGTGCAGTGTTAGGCTTGCATCCTTTGGCAAGTTCACGGACTTGTGTGTGTCAGATCTGCCCCGCGAGAGGAAGATGGACGGTGGGGTTGTACCGGCCAAGGACAAAGAGCTGGAAGATGATTTTTTAAAGGACCTCTTAGGACAGAGGTGTCTAGTGCACATGACTGATAGTGTTCACGTTGAGTGTTTCACTAGGGTTGTACTTGAATGGAAAGAATGGAGGGTATGAATTGAAAATAATGTTGTTTTTTTTCTCTTTAGGAAATTGAAGTTGGCGGTGGTCGGAAAGCTATTATCATCTTTGTTCCCGTTCCTCAGCTGAAATCTTTCCAGAAAATCCAAGTCCGGCTAGTCCGTGAATTGGAGAAAAAGTTCAGTGGGAAGCATGTTGTTTTTATCGCTCAGGTATCTGTTGTACTGTTGAATGTTTTATTGTGGGAATTTTTAAAAATCACCATGTTTGAGGGGGAAAAAAAATCACTTTGATTTTGTGCTTGCAATATATCAAAAAGATGAAGTACAGTTTTGGTGTTTAATGTAAAAAGTCTTTTTATGCCCATAACGGCAGAAATGTAGTGGGTTGTTTACAGAGAAATCAAACTAGATGTGTGCTTGGTCTGAGCCGAGGTTTTTCTGCTTGCGATCCACACTGGAAGTGCGTCAGTTGTGGACTTCGGGAGGCGAGCAGAGGCCAAGGAATATAAGTTCAGATCTGGCCTCGGTGCTAACAGGTCTATGGGAATGAAGGGCCAGACTGATGAGGAATTCAGTAGTGTTCTGGCTTGGTAGGCATGTTTACTCCACTAGGCAGCGGGCCTGACAGCGTGGTAGGTGTGCAGGCTTCAGGGGATCAGTAGGAGCTACTGAGAAATCAGGAGTCATCAGAGGATTTCTCAGCTTGTTTGCTCTGGGTTGGTTGACTTTCACACACTTTGAATTTATTTTGTTACTGCCTTTTTTTTTTTTTGGCTTTTAAAGCATTTTGACAGTTTTTAGCTTTCTGCCACCTTAAGGTTTTTCTTTTTTTTTCCATGATAATTTTTACCTTACAGAGGAGAATTCTGCCTAAGCCAACTCGAAAAAGCCGTACAAAAAATAAGCAAAAGCGTCCCAGGAGGTGAGTATTTTATCAGCATCAAAAAAGTGTACTGTAGGGGCATCTGGATGGCTCAGTGAGTTAAGCATCTGACTCTTGGGTCTCCGCTTAGGTCATGAATTCAGGCCCTGTGTTGGGCCCACTTTAGCCTGTTGGGCTCCCTGCTGGGTGTGGAGCCTGCTTTTAAAAAAAAATAAAGTGTGTCGTAGACCATTTACTACTGACTTGATTTGCATGATTTTTTTGTAGTAAGAATTGCAGTAGGTTTCTGAAATTAAACAGTGATAGTTTAGGAAAGCTGTTCACATGGGAATTTTTACTGAGTAAAAATTGTGTTCCCTGTAATTATGTATAAATGTATTAAAATTCTGGAGGTAAGAACTACGTGTATTTACGTAGGTAGTATAAAAATAGGTCACTGGTATCTCAAAAGGTGAGACTCTTTTCTCCGGTTCTTTGGGCAAAGGATAGGAACGGTGAGGGGATGGTTCGTGTAGTGCTGAGGGATTAAACGCACCAGATGTAGTACAGTGTGCTGGGAGGTGTCTTTTACTTTTCATTTTTGCTGTGAATTAAGGCTAAGAAATCAGGTGGATTTTCCTGTTGCTGATGTTACAGGTTGAAAGTGTTCCTGCAGTTGTAGATGCCAATGGACCATGTTCTTTAAGCTTGATTGACTTACAGTTTACCTGAATAACTCAGATATTGAGCGTTGTTGTTTCCTTGATCTGGGCCTTTCGGTGTTTTGTGGAAGTGTGGTTTCACAGGGTTGGATTAGTGGATCCCGCAGGCCCTGCCCTGGGGACCAGCTTGGGAAAAAATATTCTAGCGTCTCTAACTGCCAGATAGGTAACAAGCTTATCCAGTCTGGACTTTGTATTACTTGTCCTAAAAGGATAAGGAAAAGTGATCCATGGCTTGGAAAACTGCTATTTCAGCTAGTGCTGGTAATGCTGGGATTTTAAAAACTCAGTCTTGTTTGTAAAACCACTAGGAGTTCGTGATGGGACTCTGGTACTGTGGCCAGATGAGTGTTGGGGGAGACTGGAAGGACAGGTGCCAGAGTTTCTGGAACTTGAGACGTACAGTTCAGTACTTTGAATCTCTTTTTTTTTTTTTTTAAAGATTTTCTGTTTATTTGACAGCGAGAGAGGGAACACAGGCAGGGGGAGTGGGAAAGGGAGAAGCAGGCTTCCTGCGGAGCAGGGAGCCCGATGTAGGGCTTGATCCCAGGACCCCGGGATCATGACCTGAGCTGAAGGCAGACGCCCAACAACTGAGCCACCCAGGCACCCCTACTTTGAACCTGTTTTATGGGTAGTTGGAGTAACATAAGAATTTAGGGATTTTTTGGTATTCTGGATAGTTTGTGAGACACCAAATATAGGAGATAACCAAGCGCATCTAGTCTGTTAGAGCCCGAGTTTGTACTTCAAGTATGAAAACAAACCCTGGCTTTGCATCCAGTGGACTCGCCCATCCAAGCCCCTCATCCCAAACTTGTGTTTTCCACATTTTCTCAGGTGATGATGTCACTGGGTTCCTGGTGACCTAGTCTCCACATTGGAGGCCTTCTGTTAACGTAGGCCAAGCTCTGGGCGGCAGGCATAGCGGTTCTGCCACTTCCCACTGCCTGCAAACCTCTTTTCCTTCGTCAGTACTTCGCTTTCTCCTACACAGGTTAGATTCTGAGATTTACTTGTTTGGGTTTCTAGACTGTAGCAGGGTTTCTGTTACTTTTCCTTTGAGGCATTCAGTTCTCTGGCTGGTGATTATTAGAGTTGCATTGCTGTGGCTCCCCCTTGTAAAAGACGGTGTTGGAATCTGAGAGAAGATGCTAAGGCTAGCTTTGATGCCATTTGGATTTGTTTTAAAGGAGACGACAAATTCCGTATTTGTGTGCCTTCCTAGTAATTTAATTAATGGGTAGCAGTGATCAGTCAGGCCATCTGTGTCATTTGCTTTCTGGAAGGTGATGGAGGCTTTAGGAAGTGGATTTCCCTTGAGCTTACTCTATGTGGCCGTGGAACAGAAGACTTTTGCAGGCATTCGAGAGCCCCTAGAAAGTGTGTGGTGCGTGTAGGAACTGCTGGATCTAAAATGCAGAGGAGTGGAGTGTAGTATCAGCTACCCATCTGCTGAGGGTAAAACGACCTGGGTGAGTTCCCTACTATAAGGTCGCTCTGTAAACACTGGAAATAACCACCTCTTCGCTCTCTCATTCTTGGCATCTTGGGGTACATGGCAGATACCCCCATAGTTTGGAATTTGTTGAATCTTGCTGTTGTCAGGCAGCCAGGTAGAGATAGGTTGTGAACTTGAAGTGCCACCAGGAGAGGAGTGAGGTCACAGCAACAGTTTGTGTGATGGGGTGAAAATGGGGGCCCAGGCAGGGCTGCATCGCAGAGCTGGTGATAGAGCAGTGCCTCCCTCCTCCTAGAGAGTGAGAAGGAATCTTAGAGGTGTTTTGGAGGCCATGGAGAGCTCTTGAAGGATCTTTTCCTAATAGGTTGGTGATCACATAAGTTTTAGATTAGTTTGACAGCATTGGAGAGGGATGGTTTTGGAGATGAGCGAGTAGTAAAGGGGCTCCTGTAGCGAGTTGGTGGAGAAATCGTGAGTGAAGATAAACCTGAAGAAGTGCGTGAAAGTGAAAGACCTCATTAATCTCCCCTTTTCTGGAGATGATCACCTGGAATGGCTTGGTGTGAGTGTGGTTTGTAAGGTTTCACGTTTAATATACCCTAAGCTTTTGAAATAAACAGGATGCTTGTTACCCTGTCTAGTTTGGCAGTGGCTCTGGTATGATCCATTAAATGTAAATAGCCTGTTTGAAAACTGGTGTTAACTTGGTTTCAGAAACCTGGGGTTTGCTGTTGATGTTTTTGACTTTTGAGGGGCTCCCAGGAGGGCAGGCCTTCCCTGATGTCTTAATTTTGTCACTGTATTCTTTCAGCCGCACTTTGACAGCTGTGCACGACGCGATCCTGGAGGACTTGGTTTTCCCAAGTGAAATTGTGGGCAAGAGAATCCGTGTGAAACTGGATGGCAGCCGGCTGATCAAGGTTCATTTGGATAAAGCACAGCAGAACAACGTGGAACACAAGGTAAGGGGTGGCTCATTGCCGGAAGCTTCAGACACAGACGAGGGGGAGAGACAGCATAACCCATCTCCATGTACCATCAGAACCAGTGGTAGTAAACTCAGCCAGCTTTTTTTCCATCTGGACCTCAGCCCACTTCCCTTCGGATTATATGTCAGGTTTTATAGTGGGGGATGTTTTGAAAATCAGGATTCTCTGCCTTTTAAATTATTAGGAAAATAGAAGTAAAATCCTTTTAGTAAGATGGTATATCTTTTGGGGGTGGGATGGTAGTGTTAGAATCCGGGAGGACTGTCCCTTCGCTTCATTCTTGGTGAAGCGAAGCGGATGTGGACAACTCCTGGGCTCCCTCATGGACTCTTGTCTGTGTGGCCCAGAGGAGCACCAGGCTCTGGCACCACGATGTAGATAGAGCCCTGTCCCGCAGCATTGTGGGTGAGCTTGTCCCCAGGCTTGTATCTTCTTCATCTACTGAGTACCTGGTTGCTGAGGGGAAAAACCATGCAGGACAATCTCACAAAACCGTTAGGCTTTAAAATGAAAGCGTGTGCTTAAAAGTTTTGTGATGAATTCTTTTTTTCCTTGTAGGTTGAAACTTTTTCTGGTGTCTATAAGAAGCTTACAGGCAAGGATGTTAACTTTGAGTTCCCAGAGTTTCAGTTGTAAACAAAAATGATTAAATAAAACTTTCACAGTATTGTTTTAGGCGTCTTCTTCAAAATTTCAGAGGTGTCACTGTATAACTGTACATTACCAGCAGCTCCCTGCGTAGGCTGGAAGGTTTGAACAGAGAGGGTCCCTGTGGGTTATACCAGGCAGTTAGATGCACGGGAGGGATATATTTGTATCCGGGGATGTTGTAAGAGGTATAATCCTATGGAATTGCCCCAAGTGGCTGAGTATTGGCACTTGGACAAGTTCAACCTCTAGACCACACAGGTACTGGAGCCGTGGATGACAGGATAATTTAGCCTACGGCCTGGTCCCAGCGCCAGGCTCTACCTGAATGCTGGGTCTCCTGGGAAGCCTGCCTAAAAGTCCAGCCTAAGAGAAAGGACAGGTTTCAAGATTTTTTTTTTTTTTTTTTTTTTAATTTATTTGAGACGGAACGAGAGAGAGCACATGAGAGGGGGGAGGGTCAGAGGGAGAAGCAGGTTCCTTGCCGAGCAGGGAGCCCGATGCGGGACTCGATCCCGGGACTCCAGGATCATGACCTGAGCCGAAGGCAGTCGCTTAACCAACTGAGCTGCCCAGGCGCCCTGAGAAAGGACAGGTTTCAGAAGCACCTGAAATCAGGCCAGCAATGGTTCCTTGGAAACTGTGTGATAGAAAGTTCTCCAAGAGCAAAATCTGATAGTGTTCTCACTGAACTTTTTTATTGTGAAAGACCCACGTACAGAATTTACCATTTTATCCTCTCAGTTCAGTGGCCGCTAGTGTACTTGTCTCCGCTGTGCAGCAGGCCCTGGAGCACCTGATGGTGTCGGAAACTGCTGGTGCAGCCGCCCCTCGTCCCTCCTTCGGGTTCCCTGAGTTCACACATTGACCATCGGTCCTAGGTAGACGGGACCAGTCAGGTGTGAGGAGATGAGACATCGTAGTCTACGTGTAGCCGCCCGACTACTGAGTGGAAGCACAGCCGATGATGGGCTTGCGTTTGCGTCTTCCCTAAAGGGTCTTCAGAGAAGCCTTTCATCCACATGGCAAGTCTAACGGACACCTGGTGAGCTGTGTTCTCGTCACCCAGCTTCAGCTGGTGCTGTCTTACCGACCCTGTTGAATCTGCGCCCACCCCCTTTCTTTGCTGGGGATTTTTGAAGCAATAGACGTGTTAAGTTTAGTAGGAGTCTTTTTTTAGCAGATAATAATTAAAATCCAGTATCAAATGAGCCAGTTTGTAATTTTTATTTTTTTATTATGTTCAATTAGCATACATCATTGATTTTAATGTAGTGTTCAACGATTCATTAATTGCATATAACACCCAGTGCTCATCACATTATGTGCCCTCCTTAATCCCCATCACCTGGTTACCCCATCCCCCCTCCCTTCTGTGACCCTCAGTTTCAGTTCCCGGAGTCCAGAGTCAGGGTTTGTCTCCCTCTGATTTCTTCCCATCCAGTTTTCCCTCCCTGCCCCTGTGGTCCTCCACGCTATTCCTTATGTTCCACATATGAGTGAAACCGTATGATAATTGACTTTTCTGCTTGACTTACTTTGCTTAGCATAATCCCCTCCAGTTCGTCCATGCCAATGCAAATGGTGGGTATTCATCCTTTCTGATGGCTGGGTAATATTCCATTGTATATATGGACCACATCTTTATCCATTCATCTGTTGAAGGGCATCTCGGCTGTTTCCACAGTTTGGCTATTGTGGACATTGCTGCTGTGAACATTGGGGTGCATATGGCCCTTCTTTTCACTACATCTGTGTCTTTGGGGTAAATACCCAGGAGTGCAATTGCTGGGTCATAGGGTAGCTCTATTTTTAACTTTTTGAGGAACCTCCACACTGTTTTCCAGAGTGGCTGTACCAACTTGCATTCCCACCAACAGTGTAAGAGGGTTCCCCTTTCTTCACAACCTCGCCAACATCTGTCGTTTCCTGACTTGTTAATTTCTGCTATTCTAACTAGTGTAAGGTGGTATCTCACTGTGGTTTTGTATTTCCCTGATGGCTAGTGATGTTGTACATTTTTTTCATCTATTAGCCATTTGTATGTCTTTTGGAGAAGTGTCTGTTCATGTCTTCTGCCCATTGAAGAACCAGTTTATTAAGTTGCTAAATCACAAGACATTAAACCAAGTTTTAAAAAATTAATCACATGGCTTTCACTAAAACTAGTATTTATTCGTGTCCGTTTTTTTTTTTTAAAGATTTTATTTATTTATTAGAGAACGAGCGAGAGAGAAACAGCATGAGAGAGGGGAGGGTCAGAGGGAGAAGCAGACTCCCCGCCGAGCCGGGAGCCCGATGCGGAACTCGATCCCAGGACTCTGGGATCATGACCTGTGCCGAAGGCAGTCGCTCAACCGACTGAGCCACCCAGGCGCCCCTATTTTTATTTTTTAAAGATTTTATTTATTTTTTGACAGAGACACAGCGAGAGAGGGAACACAAGCAGGGGAAGTGGGAGAGGGAGAAGCAGGCTTCCTGCCAAGCAGGGAGCCTGATGTGGGGCTCGATCCCAGGACCCTGGGATCATGACCTGAGCCAAAGGCAGACGCTTAACGACTGAGCCACCCAGGCGCCCCTATTCGTGTCCATTTAAAACACTGTGTTTATAACCATATGCGTGCTCTTTTAGTAGTGTGCATTCTATAATTTTTTTTTTTTTTTAAAGATTTTATTTGAGAGAGAGAGAGAGAGAGCATGAGAGGGAGGAGGGTCAGAGGGAGAAGCAGACTCCCTGCCGAGCAGGGAGCCCGATGCGGGACGCGATCCCGGGACTCCAGGATCATGACCTGAGCCGAAGGCAGTCGCTTAACCAACTGAGCCACCCAGGGCCCCATTCTATAATATGTTAATGCCCACACACGTACTGGAGATAACCTGCTCAGAACTTCTACTTGGTGGGCTGCGCAACGAAATAGTTCAGGGACTAGTGTGCTAAACGTCACCACAACTTTCCTTAGTAAACTTAGTAAACTTGCTGTTACACAGTTGAACAACACAGGGACCAGGGGCACTGACCCCTATGTCGTTGAAAATCCACTTCCTCCGAAACTCAACTATTCTGCTTACTGTTGGCTGGAGGCCTCAGTAAAATGGTTAGCACATTTTGGCTGGCTCAAGTCAGTGGAGCATGCGACTCTTGATCTCGGGGTTGTAAGTTTGAGCCCCATGTTCAGTGCAGAGACTACTTAAAAATAATAAAATCTCTAAAGTTATGAGCAAATATACAGTGTCACACTGTATTCATTAAAAAGAAAATCCATGTATAAGTAGATCCTCCCAGCTCAAACACGCTGTTCAAGGGCCAACTTCAGAATATTCTTGAAGGGCTAGATCTTAAACCTGCAAGAATGGATGTGCATCATTTATTATAGAAAGTGATTGTGTTTAAATCTTCCTTTTCCCTCCTAGTTGTGTATCAGCTCTGGTCTTTTCTCCCTGACTGATAAAGGTATACGAAGTTGCAAAGCTCCTAAAGAGTAGAACATTTTGAGCTCTTCTGAGGCACTGAGATGCATAATTCTAGATCTCTAATATTACACTTGGTATTTATAAAAATCTATAACCAAACAATAAAACCACTGGTCATGGCAATAGAGACCCTTCAGTTCCAGGATGGCCCTGGTTACGGAGACTCCTGTTCGGAGAAGCTGCTGGTGCCCTCAACTCTCATCAATACAGCAGCAGCGGTGGGTGAGGGATAAGGAAGGTTAGTCTGAATGCTTCTTAGGCAGTTAAATTTTTACCCAAAATTCTACACTGATACAATCAAGTTCATGCTCTGTGGGAACATATTTAAATGAGACTTCCATTTCGCATAGCGGCTGCGTGCTCCTCAAGCAGCCTTAGCACCCCACTGAAACGGGACAAAGTGCTGCGCAGTCTTTGGTCGTGACCTGACAGCCCAGCACACCCCACGGACGGTTGCTGTTCTGCTCGTGTTATTCGTAACTCTCGTGGTTTGCAAGCCTGGGGGAGCCGAGATGGGCCAGTTAGGGCCTGAACGCGGCGCGGACCAGCGGTCATGTTGCAGTCCACTGCGGTTAGGGTCTGCGCCCAGGCGCGTTACGGTCATCGCGGGGCTGGGGCTGCCGCCTTCCGTGAGCTGCCTCGTTTCTGTGACTTTAGTTCTCATTTGTAGGACAGAGGACTAGCCTGGACTAGCTAGGTTCTTCTGGTGGGAAAGTTCTAGTTCTTCCAGTGGGGAAGGTCACGGCCCTGAGTCAATCAATGCAGACTCCCTCTCAGCCCCTGTCAGGGAGGTGCGTGTGCTTAACAGAGTGCCTGGCACAGAGTCAAAACTTAATGTTTGTTGAAAGAATATATGAGCTTTCTGGGGTGCCTGGGTGGCTCAGTTGGTTGGGCGTCCGACTCGTGGTTTTGGCTCAGGTCATAATCTCGTGGTGGGGATCAAGCCCCGCATTGGTCTCCACACTCAGCGAGGAGTCTGAGACTCTCTACCTCTCCCTCTGCCCCTCCGTCCACTTGAACTCTCTCGCGCTCTTTCTCTCAAATAAACAAGTAAATAAATCCTTTTTAAAAAAAAGTTTTTTTTTTCAATTGGTTGCTTTTTCCATTTCATGCTGTGTGGCTTTCCTGAAGTCTTTCAATGCCCCTGGGCTTCGGTGCCCTCTTGGTAACATGAGGGGGTTGCAGAAGGATAAGCTCTTAAAATCCCTGCCCGCTTAAGGGACACGGTCTGTGAGGTGGTATCCGAGCTGGGGTCTTACATCAAGGACCTGTCAGGGAAGCACAGAGATGACATGGCTGTGTGTGTTCGTGATGGGCGTATTTCAGACAAGATGTTATAGTTAGTGGTCAGTATATATTGATGACTTTGGTGTAATTAGGATTATCGACTCACAGCTGGCCTGCTCGTCACCATCAGATTCAGCCCTGATTGAATGGCGTACCAGCACCTAATGAAGACGGGGGTACGGCTCAGATCCCGTTAGGTTGTGAAGCCGGCTCCATGCCCGGTCCTCTGGTAGACCCAGGAAGTTACGGCCTCTGCCCTCGAAGGCCCGCAGTGCCCAGCGGGCGAGGCAGACACGTAAGGCAGTCAGGAGACAAGGCGGCGTTGACTTCTGTCACTGAAGGGACGCTTAGAAGGCTTGCTTTCCTGTGGCTCGCCGAGTCCGTTCCTTTGACTTAGGTTTACCCCGAATGAGGTGCGCAGGAACGGCTTGGGAGGGAGCACACAAACACCGAGGACCCGGCCCAGGAGCCCCCGTGTGGAGTCACAGTTTCCAAGGAACCATTGCTGTCCCAGTCACGAGCTGGGACAGCTGCCCTGCTGTTCATCTTCATGCTGTTTTCCTGCCGCAGGAAGCCACCTCACGGGCCGCTCACCTCGGGCCCGTTGATGGGCCCGACCGTGTGGTTGCATGGTTGCTCCTCACGGCTCCCAGGGGCTGCTGTGTGGACAGGTGCTACGGCCAACAGGTCTTCCCCTCCTTCCGTCAGGGGTTAATTTGTTGGCTTTCGGTTCCTGTGCTGGAGCAAGAGTGTGGTCTCTTGGGGCGTCCAAGGAGGCGGGGAGTGAGAGGTGCAGGACAGCGCCGCATGATTCGTGAGTGCCCGTGTGTCAGGCACTGCGGTGGGCCGCCTGCTTTGTTGGTGCCAGGCCTTGCAGTGCCATGAAGGAGGGAGCGGTTCGCAGAGAGCGGTCCCTGGACCAGCAGCCCCAGCATCGCTCATCGCCTGGGAACTGGTTAGAAATGGAGGTGCCCAGATCCCCCCACCAGCCTACGGACTCAAAGTCTGGGGTGGGGCGCCTGGCGGCGTGTGCTTTCCGAGGTCTTCTGGATGTTTCTGGTGCACACTCACATTTGAGACCCGGTGATCTTGGGTGCTGTAATGACCTTGGATGGCACGATGTGCTCAGGTGAGTGGGAAGCCGGAGCTGCATCTCCCGTGGGCACGGCGGGCTCCAGCTCTGACATGCGGGCACTGGTGCCCGCGCTCCCTGACCGCCCGGGGACCATGTCCGCAAGGGGCCGGTGTACTGAGAGGATGGGAGGCCCAGTGCCGCTCTGCGGTGTCAGGGAACTCCGGAGAAACGGAGCCATCAGGCAGGGAGGGGTGGCCCAGGTTAACGTCCTTAAGGACAAAGTATCCAGAGCTATGAGGCCTGGCTGGGTGACCTCCAAGGAAAATTCCCGTCCAGACACAAATGGGCTTGATCTGGCTCTTGGGTGCAGATTTCTCC